TAGGGTGTTTTTCATGCCATTTCATGCCATTTTTGGAACATTTAAAACGTATTAGTGATGACATTTGCCCCAGGGCATTCCTTTCCGATGTTTATCAAATCGATTCGGGCGCCCCCTCCATCTGTCCCCCATTTGGTGCCTTTTACGGACCAATTACGAACGGATACCCCACTTCCCGGGTCATCCAGTCCATTTTCCGCTAAGCTACTCCTGCCACCAAAGAAAAACGATGAAATTCTTTTATTTTCTGCTTGTATTCATGGAATTTTCTTTTTGTCGCCGGGTCGTCGTCACAACCTGGGATGGCCACGGGTTCCGCAGTGCTACGCTTAACGGTTCGTACCGTGGCTGATCGTAAATATTGTCGTTTGTAGCCTACAACTCGTTAAATAGCGGAAATTCCCGGATGGGCAGCCTGGTCGAGGGGCTGTCAACGTGTGAGCGGTTGCAGGTGGGTGGGTGTACTATGTAACGGCCTGTTCCGTTACGCGTCCAATTACATTGCGTAATGGATACATTGCTTGGCCCCTCGGAATTAGTACATTTGCGTACTCCTTGGGCCGGGCTACGGTAATGTGACCCGGGAACGGTTTCGTAATATGAATTCGGCTAATCAGTAATATACATTGCGTAATCGGATCTTAGAAAGTTTGTGAGGAGTACGGTTTCGTACTCGATTCCGTTTGTCCAGAATTACTGGAGTAGTTTGATTCACAAGGCTTAGGAAAACGTATCACCGCGTATTGTAGCGTACTGGCATGCGTAATCAGCTCCTGGCCTCGAGTATTGTTGCGTACCGCCGCGCGTACTGCGCCGTACTACGTTAAGCGTCAAATTATGTACCGTAATCCGATTTCTCAGGCTGCGTAGTGGATTCAAATCGTACTGCTGCGTATTGCGGTTTTCAAAACCGTTTCTAACGGAATTACACTGCGTAGTCGAAACTTACAGCGTTTGTAAGGAGTACGGTTGCGTACTCGATTTCCTTTGACCAGAATTTACTGGGCTAGTTTGATTTATACAGCTTAGGAACACGTATTGTCGCGTAGTTTAGCGCTTTGGCATATTCTAGGCCGTTTCAAACCGAATTACATTGCGTAATCGAATCTTAGAACGTTCTTAGGAAGTACGGTTGGGTACGCGTTTCCATTTGACCTATTATCTACAATAATCCTATTTCTAAGGCTTAATGAAACGTACTGCCACGTAGTATAGCGTATTTATTGCGGTATTCAGGGCCATTTCCCGACGGATTACATTGCGTAATCAGTTCCTGGCCTCGAGTATTGATGCGTACCGCGGTACGTACTGCGCCGTACTACGCTATGCGTGAAATTACATAGGCCGTCGCGTACCGAATTACATTGCATAATTAGAGCCTGGCCTTGATGACTGCCGCGTACATTCGCGTTCTAATCACCCCTTACAGTGCGACACGACGGTGGGTTACGGTGGGTCGCCAGACGAGAGCGGCGAGACGACCCTTGATGCCCTGCTCATCGACGGGTAGGCCCTTGACTTTGAAGGCCTCCCCCGCTTGCTGTCACGCTCCCTTTAAAACCTTGCCATTGGCTTCCAGACCTGGGCATCGGATGGCAGCCGTCGCCCAACTGCGCCGCGTACGCGACGCGGCACGCGTCGCCTGGGCTGTGATGAACCACACGCAGCACACGATGATTGTTGGGGAGCAGGGTGAGAGAGTTGGCGATTGGTAGGCTAGCAGAGATCATTGAGGAGTCGGGGCAGGCTAGCGGAGAGCCTTGAGGAGCATCATTTGCAGCCACCCGCTTCGCGCTCCAGATGGGTTTCAAGGAAGAGAACCTGACCACGCCGGCCTCACTGCTGATGATGGACGTGTGGAGGCGGAATAATTGTCAGCCGAATTTTTGGAAGGTTAGTTTTTCTCACCGATCTCCGCTAGCCTGCTCTCGGTTCCTCAATGATCTCTGTCAGCCCGCCTCGCTTCCTCAACGATTTTTAGAACGTGAACCCAACCCCTACCAAAAGTTGTGGACCGTACCAGCCTGCGTCCGCTACGGAAAACCTCGAAAAAATGGTGCTATCAAATCGGATCATCGATCGGTGGGTGTTCAGGCCCCGGCGACGGGTTTAAGCTTAGGCTTAGGCTAGGCTTTGCGCATCGCAGATTCAAAAGCTGACAATTTCCATGGCCAATCGCTGCCTTTTCCAGTTTCCACCACGACACCATCGGCATGGTGGTGATCGACGACAGCGGCGAGGTTTCAGCCGGAACATCGACCAATGGTGCCCGGTACAAGGTGGGTTTCCCTTGTTCACTTTTTGTCACTTTTACAATGTTGTGAGCACCGTAACGAGTAGTGCCACGTACTACGACAGCCCGGCTATAAAATTTATCGAGTTTCGCGTTTGGAATTGATGATCATCATGGTATTTAACGGGATGTGTTCGGTAAGGGTTGAGCGGAGGAGGAGGAGCTCGAGCAGGAGGCGGGGCTAGGGCTGCTGCGGCTTCTCCAGCTGCACGTCCAGGTCGACGTTCACCGGCTTGTTCTGCCCGAGGTCCTTGCCGTCGAAGAGGAACTGGAATTGAAGGCTGGGCTTAGGCTTAAGCTTAGCTTAGGCTTAGCTTAGGCTTATTAGGCTTAGCTTAGGCCACAGGCTTTGGTATCGGCTTAGGCATGAGCTTAGGCTTAGCCTTAGTCTTAGGTTAATCAGGCTTAGGCTTAAGCTTAGCCTAACGCTTCCCACCTCAAACTCCCAAAGCCCGGTGCGGCTCGGCGGCAACTCGCCGACGTCGAGCTCGAACGGCTCCGACTTGGGCCCCTCAGAAGCTGAAAGCCCCAGAATTTCAATTCCTCTCTTTCTTCCCCACAAGAACGGCAGGGCAGGATGACCGACGTGTTCGGGGAGGACAACATGAAATTGACCGGGGACACTGAAAAACACCGGGTTGAATAATCGCGGGCAGCGCGACGTACTCGAGCTGGTCGGCTTGGCCTTTTCGGGGGATTGGCCGCCGGGCAGGCGATTGGGATTCGGCTGCCAGTAGCTGTTCATCGACCCGGTGTCCTGCTCGAAGCCGCTGGTCACGCCGAACCGGTCGGGCATCTCGAGGGCCTGGCCGGTGGCTCTGAACAGCTAATGAACATACCACAGTTTATACCCTACCTGAAGTAGAACTCGACCGTCTCCCTCAGCCGCTGAGCAAAGTCATCCAGCTGCCGGAGGGGGATGTTGGCGATGGGGAGCAGTTCAGCGACGTCGCGCAGTTCGGCCAAGGAGAGGCGCTCAATCTCGAGACGGTCGACGAGGTGGGAGATGACCTGAAAGCCAGGATTCCGAGGTCGAACTGCTCGAACCCGTCGGCCATCCCCAAAGACGTTCTGGTGGGCCCAGACGATGGTCGCCTTGAAGAGGGAGGCCCAGGGGACACGGAACAGGGGGTGGGTCCAAGGGGCGTCGGCCAGGGCCCAGTCGATCATCGCCTAGAGAGGGGGTCGAACTTGGGCTCTGTACCGATATAAGGGATTTCTGCCGATATAAGGGATCACTGCCGATATAAAGGATCACCGCCGATATAAGGGATCACTGCCGATAAAAGGGATCACCGCCGATATAAGGGATCACCGCCGATATAAGGGATCGGGAAAAAAAAAAAACCCCGAAAATGGCGGGTACCGATATAAGGGATCACGAAACCGGATTTCGGCCAAAATGTCGATATAAGGGATCAGAAGAAGGATTTTGCGCGATATATTATTACATTGATGTAAAGAGCTATTTATTTAGGTCGATTTCGAAAGAAATTACAGAGAAGTTGATAAAAACTAATGTTTTACGGAAGTATTATTCAGTCCGATGCCTTTGCCAGTTTGTGATCGTGGTACCTCCGCCTTTCCTTTTCCCTCATCCACCTTATTTAGTTTTCTGCGACTCCCGCGTTAACCTCTGCCAGGACTTATTGGACTGGTATTTAAACCAATGGACTAACTCGGTGATGCAGCTATTTCGATCCCTAACCTCTATCTGCTTTAGTACGGCCTCTGCCATCAATTCTTCGGCGTTCCAATCAGCTTCCTTCCGGCCCCCACCAGTCTACCGAAAATCGAATAATACTTCCGTAAAACCTAGCTTTTATCAACTTCTCTGTAATTTCTTTCGAAATCGACCTAAATAAATAGCTCTTTACATCAATGTAATAATATATCGCGCAAAATCCTTCTTCTGATCCCTTATATCGACATTTTGGCCGAAATCCGGTTTCGTGATCCCTTATATCGGTACCCGCCATTTTCGGGTTTTTTTCCGATCCCTTATATCGGCGGTGATCCCTTATATCGGCGGTGATCCCTTTTATCGGCAGTGATCCCTTATATCGACGGTCCGAGGCCCTGATCCCTTATATCGGCGGTGATCCCTTATATCGGCAGAAATCCCTTATATCGGTACAGAGCCCGAACTTGTTGAACTTGTCGCTAGGTCGACAGATCTTTGAAAACCCGCTACCCACCATCATCGACCTCCTGCTCAGCGCGTGAAAGCTGGGGATATGCACGTAGCTGACGAGCTGCCCGATGCACTCCTGAGCTCCTGATGCATCTACAACGTCAGCCTGTCCACCTTGAGATGCGGTAAGCCACGTCATCCTGGACATTAGCATGGCCGGCCATCTCAAGCGCGATCATGGCCCGTCTCGGGGCCGTGCGCCATCAGCTCGATCTGCTTCTCCATCTCAATGCACAGCTCCGTGACGCCGAGCACATGGGCGGTGGCGAGCACTTTGTCGAGCTGGAAAAGTGGGGGTCGTCGGCTTGAGAAGATGTCCGCTACCATCTCATGCACGATGAAGATCTCGCGGCCGGCGATGAAGTCAAAGACCATGCGCAGCGACTTGTCGCAGACGAGCGGCTGCTCGGCGACAGCAGGCTGCTCGAGGGCGTCGGGTTCAGCTCCCGAGGGTGAAATGATTAGGCTTGCTTCGGCCCAGGCATGACCCAGGCTCAGCTCAGCAAAGCTTCGGCTTCGGCCCAGCTTATGCTTAGCTTTAAGCTTATCGGCGAAGTCGGTCAGAGTTATCACCGATCAACTTTTGCAGCTTTTTTGGCTGTGGGCGAGGACGTCCGCCAGGTCGAGGGTGTGTTTGAAGGTCGCGTGAATGAACGCGACGTCGCCGAGGCGTTCCACGCGAGTCGCGCTGAAATTTGCATATTCAAACGAATCTCGAAATTACCTGACGTGTCGGCGCGACAGCGAACCCGTCTTCGAGTTCCCATTTGTTCGGGAAAGTTGTGAAATGCGGGCGAAAAATTGGGTTTTATACCGGGTTACTGTAACTTCCGATGTGCCGGTATAACAAATTTAATTTTATCGATTATATGAATTCCAATTGATGTTAGAAAGAAAGTTTTAGTAAGAGGCGTAGGCTATGATTAGGCTTCGACTACTGCTTCTGCTTCGGCCCGGGTTTAGGGTTAGGGTTGAAGCAGAAACTGGGTCTAGGTCCAGGTCTCAGCTTAAGCTTAGGCAGGCTTAAGCTTTGGCTTAGACTTGGACTTGGGGTTTAGGCTCAGGCTTAGGCTTGCCCAGGCGGGACCAAGCCTAATTTACAGATCCCAGGCCGCGTGAGCGAAATTCCTCCCTTCCCGGCTCTGGTGCGTACCTCTGGCAGGGCATCGGTGGAGCGTCAGCTACTGGAGATGGAACGTCCTGATGCGGTTTTTGCCCAGGTACAGAGGCCAATGAGCACAACCTCCTCTTTTCCAGCTACCAAACCGTCAAGTGGATGCGGCAGGGCTTATCCCCGCGTGAAGCCGCGCCGAAGTCCCGCTTGCCCAGATCGCCGAGTTTTATCCGGGGGTTTCAAGGGAGCTGTCGTAGCAGCTAATGTGATGCCTTTGGAAAATACAGGTCTAATGAACTCCCTGCTAGCCAGCCCTCAGTTCCTCAATGATCTCTGCCCGCTTGCTTGCTCCAATTTCCATTTCAGGGCGAACCTGGTGCCGGTTATTGCGGATCCACCTAAATTCACCTACTCGCATATGGAAGCGGGGGACACCGTCACGCGCCAACTACCGTACCCTGTATTTAAACTTCTTGTTTTTCGTTCTTACAAAATATTAAAACTTTAAATAAATGTTGCTGTTCAATTTAAAAGTCCTTATAAAAAATTAGTATTAATCAAAAATCTTCCACTTTTAAAAACTTTTTTGTATTCAAAAAACCATTTTAAATTTCTCTCTTTCAAAGGTTGTTTTCTCCTTACCAAAGATTCCCAATTTTTGCTCGAAAACTTCTAAAATTCACCCACCAATTAACCGCCCCACACGAACCCGTGATTTTTTCCCTAAAATGGGAAGAAAAAATTGAAAATTAGCGTTTCCCGGGGGAATCATGCTATCCCGTAATTTTCGATTCATTGCAGGACACGTCAATTCAGCTACCGTACTCCAAAAAATATCGAATAACACCAAATAACACTCGAGTTTTCACGTCAACAAGTTTATCATGGACTGTCGGGGTAGAAGAATTACATAGGATCAGGCCCAGGCTTAGGCTTGAAGCGCCTAACACGGAGATCGCTAGGTGTAGTTTGTAGTCGCGCGTCATCTTGGAGATCATGAGGATGCGATTCATCACCGCTTCAACATGTACCAGGTCAGCCGTCGAGTGGGCTGCGCTGTTGGGTTATGAGGACCCTTGACTGCCTACATTAGTCATGCTCCCCCATCGGGACGAGGGCGTACTGTTCGGAATGGGGTTGGAGATCAGGGACATCTGAAAAGAAAAGTATCAATCTGTTTCTCTCCCTCTCTCTCTCCCCCCCTCTCTCTCTCTCTCTCTCTCTCCCTCTCTCTCTCTCCTCGCTTTCTCTACCTCTCACTATAGCATCACTAGCACTAACCTGCATCACCATCTGTTTGCTGACCACCATGGGCACAGTTGCAGTTCGTAGTCTGCAGCAAGTTCGGCTGCAGGGCGAGCGGCTGGGCGTGGGTTCACTTGCTGAACCTGCTGAGATTTGAGGGCCGGGGTCAAGCAGTTGTACCTGCTGGTTCTTTCGCTGTACCAAGCTGGAACTGCTGGAACTGCTGAACCTGTTGGGCTTTTGCTGTTGAACCTGCTGAACCTGTTGGACTTGCTGGAACTGCTGAACCGGCTGAACGTATGGAATTTTAGAGAGCCGGGTAAACCTGAAATACCTGCTGGAACGATTGAACCGGTTGAACTGGCTGAAGGGGTAGGGCTGACGGTTGGGCGGCGGGAACCGGTAATTGTGGCTAAATAGGAAGATCTTAAGACCTTAAGAATACCTATGTATAATAACACCAGCTTTTTCAACTGTAATTCTTTATCATGGTCTAAAAATCTGGCTAAAGCTAGCGCATTCAGCATGAAAACTGCCTTCCCAGGTGGCCTTTAACGTCAGACATCCCCCAGGCTGATTTCGGAAACTTTTTTGTGCCCCTGATTTTCAGAAATCTGTTGTATAATCGAGGGATAGTAGATAAAACTGAGGCAGAAGCTTGGAAGTTATCCTAAAAAATGAAACTCCTCTTCTGGCTGTTCTTCTCCGTGGCCCTGGTCATCACCGAGGCTCACCTTTTGCCGGTAATGGTTTGAAGACTCATTTTGTTATTGAACAAAAGCGAGAGAGAGAGAGAGAGAGGAGAGCGAGAGAGGAGAGGGTGAGGGGAGAAACCCAGGGCGAGCGAGTGAGCCTGCGAGAGAGATCAACTTCCAGATCTGCATGGGAGAAAGGTATCGGTGTAATGGAGTCTGCATCCCGGATGATGAGCCCTGCGACGAACTGGTCGAGGTGAATGGACGTATAGTAAAGTTCTCTCTCTCTCTCTCTCTCTCTTGCTTGCTCTTCCTCTCTCTATCTCTCTCTCACTCCATTTTCAGGAAATTCTCGGCCGCCACTGTTCGTACCCCGTATTATAGTGCCACGGGGAATGCAGATTCGATTGCAGGAAGCCAAAATGAGAAATTCGATAAATCGTCGCGAATCTACATAAAAATTCACCTGCATAACGGTCTCGACCGGCATCTGTTTCATGTATTCCACCGTAGCTTGCGCTGTTTTCTAGAAAAAATTGTGAAATACATTGAAATGATGAGTACCGTTTTCTTATCACCCCATTGGCAGCAGAAAACGACCCTCCGGAAGGTGGGGAGCAGGATGAAGCTGGCCACGACGAACAGGCAGCGGAACACGTCTTGGTTGCAATATAGCTACAATCCCATAATGAGTACAGCAACGTACTACAAGTCTGCGATCAGTATCTGATGGACATTACTGTACTCTGCTTTTCCTAAAGTAGTGTGTTCTACGAATTACTGTAGATTGTGAAGTACGGTAGTGAGGGAGGCATACGACCGGAGAATTACGTAATTAGTAGTGTGACTTACTCTTCGTGGATATGTCATTAGCAAAGTAGCGTACTTTAGAGGTAAGTGTCACGACATATCGTATTTGTGA